GACTGGGGGAACTGGGGGGAATGGGGGGACAGCCATCACCCCCCCAGACATCGCCTCCTCCCAGTGCCTGCTGGGGCCGGGGGTGGGGATTCTGTGGGGTGGGGGATTCAGGGAAATGTGGGGTCCCCCTGAGCCCCCCTGTGCCCCCCAGGCATCGCCTCCTTCCAGTGCCTGCTGGGGCTGGGGGTGTGGAACCCCCGCGGGCCCGACCTGAGCAACTGCACCAGCCCCTGGGTCAACCAGGTGGCCCAGAAGGTACCGGGGGGACCCCAAAATGGGACCCGCCCAAAGGGACACCCCTAAACAGGGATCCCCAAAATGGGACCCGCCCAAAGGGACACCCCTAAACAGGGATCCCCAAAATGGGACCCGCCCAAAGGGACATCCCTAAACAGGGATCCCCCAAAATGGGACCCGCCCAAAGGGACACCCCCCCCTGGGTCAACCAGGAGGCGCCCAAAGTAGACAGGGTCCCCCAAAATGGGACCCGCCCAAAGGGACACCCCTAAACAGGGATCCCCAAAATGGGACCCGCCCAAAGGGACACCCCTAAACAGGGATCCCCCAAAATGGGACCTGCCCAAAGGGGACAGAATCCCCCAAAATGGGACCCGCCCAGAGGGACACCCCTAAACAGGAATTCCCCAAAACCAGGACCCCCCCAGAAAGGGGGATACCTCTAAAGAGGACCCCCCAAGCAGGGACCCCCTAAAATGCAGATACTCCCAGAACAGGACCCCCCCCCAATGAGGAAACCCCCCCCTAAATGAGGATACCCCAAAATAGGGACTGCCCCAAATGGGGACCCCCCTCCAAACAGGGACCCCCAGAAATGGGGACACCCTGAGAAGGGGGGCTGGGGGGGCACCCCCACATCCCCCACGGGGTTGGGGAGGGTCGGGGACCCCCTGAGTGGGGAGCAGCCCCTGCAGAGGGAGGGACACCCCAGGACCTTCCAGGGAGGGGTTTGGGGGTTCCAGGGGAGACCCCTCAGAGCATCCCCACCCCACAGAGGGGGCTGGTCCCCACTCAGGGGGTCCCCCAAACCCCCTGGGGGATATTGGGGAGCCCCCCTGAGCTGTGGGTGCCCCCCGACGCCCTGGGAGATATCAAAGACCCCCCCCACTTACCCATGGGTGCCCCCCCAAACCCCCTGGGGGATATCGGGGACCCCCCCACTGACCCATGACCCCCTGTAACTCCCCCCAGATCTCCCAAAAGCCGGGGGGACATCAGGGAGCCCCCCTGACCCGCGGGTGCCCCCCCAAACCCCCCGGGGGATATCGGGGACCCCCGTGAGCCTTGGGTGCACCCCCAGACCCACTGGGGGATATCGAGGACCCCCCCCCCACTGACCCATGACCCTCTCAGACCCCCTGTAACCCCCTGGGGGACATCAGGGAGCCCCCCTGACCCGCGGGTGCCCCCCCAAACCCCCCGGGGGATATCGGGGACCCCCCTGAGGCTGCGTGCCCCCCAGATCAAGAGCGGGGAGAACGCGGCGTCCATCGCGGGGGAGCTGGCGCGGCACACGCGGGGCCCGGTGTTCGCGGGGGACGTCAGCTCGGCCGTGCGGCTGCTGGAGCAGCTCCTGGACATCCTGGACGCGCAGCTGCAGGCGCTGCGCCCGCTCGAGAGGGAGTCCGCGGGGAAGAACTACAACAAGGTGGGACCCCAAAACCCGGATTTGGGGTTCAGCCCAAAGGGGGGGACAGGGGACCAGCAGGGGACAGTGGGGACACGGTGGTGCCACATCCTGGACGCGCAGCTGCAGGCGCTGCGCCCGCTCGAGAGGGGAAAAACTACAACAAGGTGTGACCCCAAAACCCGGATTTGGGGTTCAGCCCAAAGGGGGGGACAGGGGACCAGCAGGGGACAGTGGGGACATGGTGGTGGCACATCCTGGGTGTGCAACTGCAGGCGCTGCGCCCGCTCGAGAGGGGAAAAACTACAACAAGGTGTGACCCCAAAACCCGGATTTGGGGTTCAGCCCACTGGGAAACTGAGAGGAACAGGTGGGACCCCAAAACCCGGATTTGGGGTTCAGATTGCTGGGGGACTGAGAGGGAACAGGTAGGACCCTAAAACCCGGATTTGGGGTTCAGCCCAAAGGGGGAGCAGGGGAAACAGGTGGGACCGAGAGGGGACAGAGGGGACTGAGGGGCTCTGAGCACCAAAAAACCTACAGCGAGGTGGGAGCCCATGATGGTTTTGGGTTGTTAATTTGAGATTTGGTTATTTTTTTTAGGTTTTTTTGGGGTAATGTGTTAATGAGTGTGGTGGGTTTAGTGTTGGTTCATTATTAGCATTTAATTATTAGTAATAATTGTTATTATTATATATTATTAGATAGATATTATTGTATATATGAAAATATATTATATATATAATATGTAATTATACATATATATAATAGATAAAATATATATAATATATAAAAATATAATATATCTATAATATAATATATTTTGTACATTTTTATATTATTATATTATATCTATTATATTATATTATTATATAATTATATAACTCATTAACTAATAATTATTAATTGTTAGTATTTATAATACTATATGTTATATATAAAAATGTATTTATATTTATATTTATACTATTTAGAATACTAATTAATACTAATTAGTATTAACATAGTTATAAGCTATATATAGTATATATTATATATACAAATATTATGTCAATATACATTATATGATAACATACATATTATATATTATGTTAATGTGCAAAATTTGTATAATATATAATATTACATAATAATAATAATAATAATAATAATAATTATTATTATTATTATTATTATTATTATTATTATTATTATTATTATTATTCTGCTATACTAATTAATTATTAGTATTTATTTTTAATTTGGAGGCAGGATTAGGAGAAAGGTAAAGTAGGTTTAAAACATTAAAAGGGTGTAAAGAAAAATTATTAATAGCAATTAAAAGAAAGAGTAATAAGAAATAGAATAAAATTTTTCAAAGTGGTTTAATTTTTTTTTTTTGCTGATAACGTACAGAAAGCAAATTTAAAATTGTAGTTCGTTTATTATTTTGAGAAGGTTTTTTTTAGTTTATTTAGGGAGAGAAGGGTTTTTTGTTATTGTTATGGAAATTTTTTTATTAAAAAAAAAAGTTTGGGAGCTTTGAGCACCAAAGGAGGAAGAGTTACAGCAAGAACTCGGACAAGGTGGGACCCCAAAACCCCGATTTTGGGGTCACCCTATTGAGGGGTGGAGTGGCCAAGGGGGAACTTCTGCCTGTGCCCCAGTTTTGGGGTGCCCCTGCTCCAGAACCTGAACCCTATTTTTGAGGGTTTTGGCTAACTTTTGGAGTTCTGCCCTGAATTTTGGGGTTGTCCTGGCCCAAATGTTGAGGAGCTCCTTTTCTAGAGATCAGACATGCTCTGCCCCGAATTTTGGGGTGCTCCTGCCCGGATTTTTGGGGTCGCTGTGCTGGGCCCCTCCTCCTGTTCCACATTTGGGAGTCCCTCCCCAGATGTTGGGGTTGTTCTGCCTCAGATATTGGGGTTGTTCTGCCTCAAATGTTGGGGTTGTTCTGCCCTAGATTTTGGGGTTGTTTCCTAGATTTTGGGAGGATCTTGTTGTGGATTTTGGGGTGCCCCCGGTGCAGGTTTTGGGGTCCCATCCCCTCACTTGGGTGCCCCCTCCCCCGTTTTATTGTCCCCCGCCAGATGCACAAGCGGGAGCGAACCTGCAAGGATTACATCAAGGTGAAGGGGTGTGGCATGAAGGGGGCGTGGCCGTGAACAATGGGAGGGGCTTGTGTGGGTGTGGTGGGCAGGGCTTGTGGGGCGTGGGTGGGGTCTGGGTGGGTGTGTACCATGGGCGGGGTCTGTCTGGGTGGGTGTGTCCTATGGGTGTGGTCTGTCTGGGTGGGTGCATCCCATGGGTGGGGTCTCTCTGGATGGGCGTGTCCCTGGAGTTGGACATGACCACACCCAGGGCAGTGCTGGAGACCTGGGGGATGGGTGTCAGTGGGCGGGGCCTGTCCTGGGTGGACGTGGCATTTGGGCACGTCCCTTTGGGTGTGTCCTTTTGGGTGTGTCATTTGGGTGTGTCCCTGGGCGTGTCCTAAGGCGTGTCTCAGCCCCGCCCACCCTGCCCATTCCACAGGCTTTGGTGGAGGCCGTGGGGGTTGGGTGTGTCCCTGGGCATGTCCCTGGGGCGTGTCCCAGCCCCACCCACCCCTCCCGTCCCGCAGGCCGTGGTGGAGGCCGTGGCGGTTGGGTGTGTCCCTGGGTGTGTCCCTGGGCGTGTCCCTGGGTGTGTCCCAAGGCGTGTCCCAGCCCCACCCATCCCGCAGGCTTTGCTGGAGGCTGTGAGGGTTGGGTGTGTCCCTGGGTGTGTCCCTGGGTGTGTCCTGGGGCATGTCCCAGACCCGCCCACCCCGCCCACCCTGCAGGCTTTGCTGGAGGCTGTGGAGGATGGGTGTTCCCCTGGGCGTGTCCCTGGGTGTGTCCCAAGGCGTGTCCCAGCCCCACCCATCCCCCAGGCTGTGATGGAGGCCGTGGGGGTTGGGTGTGCCCCTGGGCGTGTCCCTGGGTGTGTCCCAAGGCGTGTCCCAGCCCCACCCGCCCCTCCTGTCCCGCAGGCCGTGGTGGAGGCCGTGGACAACCTGCTGCGTCCGGAGGCGCTGGAGTCGTGGCGGGACATGAACGGCTCGGAGCAGGCGCACACGGCCACCATGCTGCTGGACGTGCTCGAGGAGGGCGCCTTCCTGCTCGCCGACAACGTCAAGGAGCCCGCGCGCTTCCTGGCCGCCCGACAGAACCTGGGTCAGCCCCACGGGGACCCCGGGACCCCCACCCAAACGCCTGCGGCCCCTCTGAACCCTGAACCCTTTTCTGGGGTCCCCACAGGCCCCTGCTGCCCGCCCTGTCCCTCCTTGCAGTGCCCAGGGTCCGTAAGAGACCCTGATGTCCCAATATCCCAATCCCAATCAATCCCAGTTCCCAATCCCAAATCCCCAATCCCAAACCCAAATTTCCAAATCCCAAATTCCCAATCCCAATCCCAGTTCCCAATCGCAAATCCCCAATCCCAATCCCAAACCCGAATTTCCAAATCCCAAATTCCCAATCCCAATCCCAGTTCCCAATCCCAAATCCCCAAGTCCAAACCCAAATTTCCAAATCCCAAATTCCCAATCCCAATCCCAGTTCCCAATCCCAAATCCCCAATTCCAAACCCAAATTTCCAAATCCCAAATTCCCAATCCCAAATCCCCAATTCCAATCCCAAACCCAAATTCCCACATGCCAAATTCCCAATCCAAAATCCCCAATCCCGATCCCAATCCTTGATCCTCAATTCCCAATCCCAAACCCCCCATTCTAATCCAATCCCAATCCCAAATCCCCAATCCCAATCCCAATTCCCAAATCCCAAACCCAAATTTCCAAATCCCAAATTCCCAATCCCAATTCCCAAATCCCAAACCCAAATTTCCAAATCCCAAATTCCCAATCCCAATCCCAATCCCAGATCCCCAATTCCAATCCCAAATTTCCAAATCCCAAATTCCCAATCCCAATCCCAATTCCCAATCCCAAATCCCCAATCCCAAACCCAAATTTCCAAATCCCAAATTCCCAATCCCAATCCCAGTTCCCAATCCCAAATCCCCAATTCCAAACCCAAATTTCCAAATCCCAAATTCCCAATCCCAAACCCCCCATTCTAATCCAATCCCAATCCCAAATCCCCAATCCCAATCCCAATTCCCAAATCCCAAATCCCCAATCATCCCTGGGACACTGAGGCTCTCCCCCAATCCCTCCCTGGGGTCTCCAGGGGCCTCTCCCACCCCTGTTCCCTCCCTGGATCATCTCCCACCCCCAACCCCAACTTGGGGACCCCCACCCCAATTCCCTGAGCATCGAGGGCCTCCCGTGGGTGACACACGCATGTTCCCACGGCCTCTGTGTGACACACGGCTTTTCCTGCATTATTCCAGCACTTTTCTGTGTTTTTCCATGTTTTTCCGTGTTTCCTGGCAGTTTTGGAGGTGTCAGTGCTGAACACTGACGGGCCACTCCAGGAGCTCCTCTTTTCCATGTTTTCCCATGTTTTTTCCATATTTTCCATTTTTTTGCCCCATGTTTTTCCCCTGTTCTGGAGGTGTCAGTGCTCAACACCGAGGGGCCGCTCCAGAAGGTTGTGTTTCCTCTGGTTTTCCATATTTTCCATGGTTTTTCCCTGGTTTTTCCCTGTTTTTGGCAGTGCTGGACATGTTGGTGTTTAACACCGAGGAACCACTCCAGGAGCTTGTGTTTTCTGTGTTTTTCCATTTCATTTTTTTTCCTATATTTTCTGTGGTTTTTTAAATATTTTTCCATATTTTCCATGTTTTTCCCCATATTTTCCACGTTTTTTCCCTGTTTTTTGCAGTGCTGGAGGTGTTGGTGCTGAACAGTGAGGGGCTGCTCCAGGAGCTCTTGTTTTCAGTGGTTTTCCTTGTTTTTCTGTATTTTCCATGGGGTTTTTTTTTCCATATTCTTCCCGTTTTTAACCTGTTTTTGGTAGTGCTGGAGATGTCGGTGCTCAACATCAAGGGGCCGCTCCAGGAGCTCATGTTTCCTGTGTTTTTCCACATTTTCCATGGGCTTTTTTTCCATACTTCCCATGTGTTTTCCAGGTTTTTCATGTTGTTTTATTATGGCTTGGTCTTTTAGGAGTCTGTCCAACCCTGGCTGCCGTGGGTGTCTGGATAGCAAAGTCCAGCTAAGCACAGCCTGTCCGGGTCCCTCAGGCAGGCTCCCAGCCGCAGGCAATCTTAGCAAGCTCAGCTCTTAAGTGAGATCAGCTCTTAAGTGAGATCAGCTCTTTGGTGAATTCAGCTTTTTAGCGATTTCAGCTCTTTGGTGAATTCAGCTCTTTGGTGATTTCAGCCCTTTTGTGATTTCAGCTCTTTAGCGATTTCAGCTCTTTAGCGATTTCAGCTCTTTGGTGAATTCAGCTCTTTAGCAATTTCAGCTCTTTGGTGAATTCATCTCTCTGGTGAATTCAGCTCTGTGGTGATTTCAGCTCTTTGGTGATTTCAGCTCTTTGGTGAATTAATCTCTTTAGCAATTTCAGCTCTTTGGTGATTTCAGCTCTGTGGTGATTTCAGCTCTTTGGTGAATTCAGCTCTTTGAGGATTTCAGCTCTTTAGCGATTTCAGCTCTTTGGCGATTTCAGCTCTTTGGTGAATTAATCTCTTTAGCGATTTCAGCTCTTTGGTGAATTCAGCTCTTTGGCGATTTCAGCTCTTTGGTGATTTCAGCTCTTTAGCGATTTCAGCTCTTTGGTGAATTCAGCTCTTTAGCAATTTCAGCTCTTTGGTGAATTCATCTCTCTGGTGAATTCAGCTCTGTGGTGATTTCAGCTCTTTAGCGATTTCAGCTCTTTGGTGAATTCAGCTCTTTAGCAATTTCAGCTCTTTGGTGAATTCATCTCTCTGGTGAATTCAGCTCTGTGGTGATTTCAGCTCTTTAGCGATTTCAGCTCTTTGGTGAATTCAGCTCTTCAGAAATTTCAGCTCTTTGGTGAATTCATCTCTCTGGTGAATTCAGCTCTGTGGCGATTTCAGCTCTCTGGTGATTTCAGCTCTTTGGTGAATTAATCTCTGTGGTGATTTCAGCTCTTTAGCGATTTCAGCTCTTTGGTGATTTCAGCTCTGTGGTGATTTCAGCTCTTTAGCGATTTCAGCTCTTTGGTGATTTCAGCTCTGTGGTGATTTCAGCTCTTTAGCGATTTCAGCTCTTTGGTGATTTCAGCTCTGTGGTGATTTCAGCTCTTTAGCGATTTCAGCTCTTTGGTGATTTCAGCTCTGTGGTGATTTCAGCTCTTTAGCGATTTCAGCTCTTTGGTGATTTCAGCTCTGTGGTGATTTCAGCTCTTTAGCGATTTCAGCTCTTTGGTGATTTCAGCTCTGTGGTGATTTCAGCTCTTTAGCGATTTCAGCTCTTTGGTGATTTCAGCTCTTTGGTGAATTCAGCTCTTTGGTGAATTCAGGTCTTTGCTTGCTAAGTGCCTCGGCAGATGCAGGGAGAGGACAAGGCCGTGTGAGGTTCACAGACGTGCCTTTATTGGCAGCTCCTGCGAAGGGTCTCGGTGACAGCTCTTCTGCAGAACTGGGCAGAAACAGGGCTTTACACAGGATATGGGAGTTTTGGGAAAATCCCAGTCCAATAGAGTCAAGGGAACGTGACCCATGGTCTTACAGCAAGATAGCGAGGGTCCGAAGGCGGAAGAGGGGCTTCTCAGGTCCAGTCATCATGGCTTGGCATTTCCTATCTTAGGCTGGTCGCTCCAGGGAGGCCTTGCAGGCCCTGTGGCTGCTGCATTGTTTTCCCCGTTTTCCCCCAGTTCTGGGGGTGTTGTGCTCAATACTGAGGGGCCGCTCCAGGAGCCTGTGTTTTCTCTGGTTTTCCGTGTTTTCAATAGGTTTTTTTCCATATTTTCCATGGTTTTCTGGCAGTTCTGGAGGTGTTGGTGCTGAACACAGAGTAGCTATTCCAGTAGCTCCTGTTTTTGTGTATTTCCCATGTTTTTCCCATGTTTTCCCATATTTTCAATGTTCTTTTCCATATTTTCCATGGTTTTTCCATATTTTTCATAGGGGTTTTTTTTCCCATATTTTCCATGTCTTTTCCACGTTTTCCATATTTTTTCCATGTTTTCCCCCAGTTCTGGAGGTGTCAGTGCTCAACACTAATGGGCTGCTTCAGGAGCTCTTTTTTTCCATGGTTTTTCCATATTTTCCATGGAGTTTTTTCCATATTTTCCATTTTTTTCTCCGTATTTTCCATCTTATTTTTCTGTATTTTCCCTGGTTTTCCATATTTTCCATGTTTGTTTCCCTGTTTTTGGCAGTGCTGGAGGTGTCGGTGCTCAACACCAAGGGGCCCCTCCAGGAGCCCGTGTTTTCCATGTTTTTCTGTATTTTCCATGGGTTCTTTCCCTGTTTTTCTGTATTTTCCATGGGGTTTTCCCTGGTTTTGGCAGTGCTGGAGGTGTCGGTGCTCAACACCAAGGGGCCCCTCCAGGAGCCCGTGTTTTCCATGTTTTTCTGTATTTTCCATGGGTTCTTTCCCTGTTTTTCTGTATTTTCCATGGGGTTTTCCCTGGTTTTGGCAGTGCTGGAGGTGTCGGTGCTCAACACCGAGGGGCCCGTCCAGGAGTTAGTGTTTTCCACGTTTTTTTCCATATTTTCCATGGGTTTTTTCCCTGTTTTTGGCAGTGCTGGAGGTGTCGGTGCTCAACACCGAGGGGCCCCTCCAGGAGCTCGTGTTCCCGCAGGAGCTGGGGGGTGACGGCTCCATCCAGCTCTCGGCCAGCACCCTCAAACAGAACAGCAGGAACGGTGTGGTGGGGGTCACCTGGGTGGTCGTGGTGGTCGCTGGTGTGGTAATGGGGGTCCCTGAGGTGGTTGTGGAGGTCTCCGGGGTGGTTGTGGTGGTCACTGGGGTAGGGGTGGGTGGGGGGGGGG